GCAGGGCAGACGGGGAGGAGAAGCCGGACTTTAAGGGCAGGACTGAGGTTTGTGCAAAGCAGTACGTTCTGACCGCGGATTGGAATGGCACCCTGGTGAACGAGGTCATCCCTGTAGCTGTCCAGCTGCACGCGGAGCGTCTGCTTGTTCAGCGCGTGCAGGGCCCGTTGCAGGTGCCCGAGTTCACTGACACGTCTGGGCGTTGCCGGCACTTCAAAGTCCCCGATGAGCATCGAACAACGGGAGTTGCCAATGCGGACATGGTGCTCTACGTGGCTGCCGGGGCGAGTGACGAGACGTGGGCGGTCCCGTGTGCGTTTGGGTCAAATGGTCGTCCGGTTGCCGGTGCGCTGCATGTCTCGCCTTTTCAACATTTGTCTGTCATGCACTCTGCCCGCGCCGCTGCGCAGGCCATCGCCCATGCGCTTGGCTTCAGCGTGCAGCAGATGAGGGCGCGGGGCATGTTGTTGGAGAACGTCACTAATGTGCGCGGCAACCCCAACCCTGTGACGGTGGTGAAGTCGCCTGCTACGCTGGAAAAAGCTAAGGCGCACTACGGCTGTGACACTCTCAATGGCATGGAGCTGCACAAGATGGACGGTGCGGTGCAACCCTACTGGTCACCGCGCAACGCGAAGGACGAGCTGATGAGCGCTCTCGGTGGGGTCACCGCCGGCCTCTACACCGCGCTGACGATGGCGGCGTTCGAGGACCTCGGCTACTACAAGGCCGTGTGGGGGATGGCGGAGCCGATGGCGTGGGGCAACAACTCCGGCTGCGACCTCCTCAAGAGCCCGTGCTCGGAGGGCAGCCCTGACAAATACCCCCGCATGTTCTGCGATAACACGACCGAAAGTAAAACACTTCGCTGCACGTCCAATCGTCAAGCTTTCTCGGTATGTGGTACGAATATTGCTGAAGGTAGCGGTGCCCCGAGCGAGAAGTGCTCCGTTTTTTGGTTGGATTCGGGTCCAGAGTTATTTTGCAGCGTGAAGGGAGAGAAACACATCCCCGGCTTCCTCCACGGGAGTGGCTCGTGGTGCCTCGATGCGGAAGCACTCGAGTTGAAGGGTACTGAGAAGGCCGGGTTGGACGGCTACAAATTACACGCGGTGTGTGCACAGGTGCAGTGCGGGGAGGGCGGCGCGGTGAGGGTGAAGTACCTCGGCGCCAATGAGACTGTGCTGTGCCCCGAGGGAGAAACAATCGATGCGGCGCTGGAGGGTTTCGAGGCAGGCGCGAAGCTCAAGTGCCCGAGGTACGAGGAGGTGTGCACCATCGCCGCCAACGGCAGCAGCCTCGTCATTCCGCGCGCTGAGGAGGCGGCGAAGGGAGACGCCGAGGAGACTCAAAGGGAAGGTGCAGCGGAGCACGACGATGTGGAGGCGAGGGAGGTTCCGGCACGTGAGCCACAGCCTGCAGAGTTGCCCTCTTGAGCTGCGGGCAGCGATCCCTCCAACCCGAAGGCCGCAGCGGTGGTGGAGCCCGGCACATTGCCGGCTGCTGAGGCGCAGGGGCGCGCAAAGGAGCCTGACGGTGGCGTTCACTCCGCTGCTGCCTCGCCGCCCTCCGCTGCCGCAGCCCGCTCACCGGACGAGGCCGTTACCGCAAAAGAAAGTGACGCGGAGGCGGCGGCGGAGGAGGCGGCGGGAGCAGCAGCGAGCAGCGAGGTCTGGGCGCCCATCCGCATCGTGGTCTCCACGAAGGACCTGGAGGACGAAACAAAGTACTGCAGGGCAGACGGGGAGGAGAAGCCGGACTTTAAGGGCAGGACTGAGGTTTGTGCAAAGCAGTACGTTCTGACCGCGGATTGGAATGGCACCCTGGTGAACGAGGTCATCCCTGTAGCTGTCCAGCTGCACGCGGAGCGTCTGCTTGTTCAGCGCGTGCAGGGCCCGTTGCAGGTGCCCGAGTTC